CTATAGATTTGTCGCAAGCAATTTTATCGTTCTCCATTATTCTGAAGGGGCACAAAAGCAACTTTCCTTCCGTCATTCTCAGGAAAGCTCATTAGCTAGTCATTACTTATTAGCTCGCACCACTGGCGCCGCAGAGCAGAGCGTTCCTTTCCACTATAACTTATGTGACTTGTAGAATCTTGGACTCCATCCTCATCAAAGTCTCGACTTTTATGTCCAACCTAAAGATACCCATCTCAGTATCCTCAAACTTTGAAACGTACATTAGAAACGTCTACAAAACATTTATGGCATATAGAATATGCCAACATAGATATCTACATTGGGCGACTATAAACTTACAATAGTGAGATCCAATATTTATTCTCTGATTGTTTGTATCCAATAGTGAAGTAGATGAGGGTGCTTGTGAAGTGTAATGGGTTATATCTACGCCGGCATTGCCATAAATATCCGGTTTCTGTAAGGAGGCTGCATCAAAATTTACAGATTTCCTTTGATCCACACTTGTGGGGAGTCGTGGATACAAGGAGGTGTCTGCTAATTGGCCAGTCAAGCTCCGCATAATGGCCGCTTCGGAAGTCAAATCCTCCAAATGGAGGCTGCCTCTTGCCATAGGAGCGCCCATGGGCGGTTCCAGTGACTTTGCGGCAGGTCCTCTTGAGGTGGACTGTACAGCTGCCAAGGCCATCGCAGCTGCTGTGGCAGCTGCGGCAACAACGCTGGCTGACGGATACGCTTTGCTTCCACCAACCATTCCAAGACAGTTTTGGGGAGCAGCGTTGAATGCATCCAGAGAGTCGTAGGCATTGACCTCAGAATCCGACCAGTAAGGGAGAGCACCGGCTCGAAATTGTGGCTTCCTTCTAAGAGCAGGATCCAATTCCGATGATCCTGGAGGACAATTAACCGTAGCATTAGCTGCTGCCAGTAGTGCTGATAAAAGGGGATTTGAGTGGGTTTTTGTTTGTTGAGAAACTCCTGTCTCTGGCTCGCACTGTATTCCTTTATCCAGCAGTGTATCACGGTGGTGGTAAACAAGCTCATGTTGGGGACTTGAAGGATGTGGTACAGAAGAAGGAGACAAACCGTCGGAGATGTCGAAGGCCTTTGAAGAGAAACTTCGAACAAATGGCGGTGGTTCTCGTACACGGGCGGATTCCGACGGATGGCGGAACCGTGGTCGTCCCTTTGGGTCTCCGAAATGCACCCTCGGAGGTGCCTGCTGTATCTGAGACGGAAAACGCGGAAAAAGCGTCGTAGAGACTGCAGTAGTGCTTGAGGGAGGATGCTGGCCATTGTTGCTGTTACCAGGATTTATTCCACCACCTGTGGACATTCGATAGTCCCCTGAGTTCACGACGGCATACGTCTGCGTGCGGTTCCGTTCGGCGGAGGGCGATAACAACTGAGAGTGTTGTCGCGAAGGCTGTGTAATTGAGGTGTATTGGCGAAGCGAGGGCAGCGACGGCTGTGGAGGGCAGTTGGATCTAGATGTCTGAGACTGCTCACTGGATAGGCCGCTGTCGACGGACTCCTTAGCCATCAGTGGCTCACTGATGGCCACAAAACAGCCTCGTCCATCACAAATAAGCTACTCATCCGCATGCTATGAAAACCGTGCGTAATTACCTTGTTGATGGCATCAGAAAGACTTCCTACATCAGAGAATGAACGACCGGGTTTGTTGAACGGACGCACGAGACGTGATAAAGCAGGCGTGGGCACGACGTGTGCACACCCAGTGGAGGAGCGTGCATGCATGCGCTTGTAGGTGCGCTAAAGCGAACGCCCAAACATACGCACTAAACTGGCAAACGAAACCACAGGGAAGTGGTTGCATGCGTGTGTGCGTGCACCTCGGCCTCGGTGATTGGGCGGGAGAGCTGCTCCGTTGAGAGTCGATCGACTTGGCCTGCGCTCACGCGCGACAGCTCAAGTGCGCACGTGGCGGCCTACTTGCATAACACTGGGGAGTTGGTGAGGTGCTTGTGCAATTTCCGCTCGCATCCTCCATTTGCGGAAAATCATGTTATGCTTATAATTTCTGCCTTGGTCTACAAAGGGCCCTTCACCACTTCCATTTCAAGTTAACTTAGATTTTGGAAATTTTGAGTTGCTTTTCAGCACCCCCAAAGGTTCCACCTATAATAAACGTGATTATATTGGATTCAATCCAAGCTAGCGTGTACACTTTTGATAACGCGAGAATTCGGTATCCTAAAATACAAATGAACTTTTGCTTATGGTCTTATTGTGCTTTGCTAAGACTGCCTT